GCGGGCGGGGCACGCGCGGCGCTGGCGCCAGGTGACCCGCGGGCGCCGGGGGAATGACACCGCGGGCCAATCAGAGGTATGAGCGGCAAGTTCAAAACGGTCTCTCTAACTGACTGCGGACCTTTTAGGGTCGTTGCCACGGGACGGGACGCGGCGGCCGCGGTGCATGTTCGAGTCAGTGGCTCGCGCCGACCTCTCGCCGCCGCCGAGGAAGTCGCGGCCGGCGGCGCGCGGCCCATCATTCCCGACCCGCGCATCCGACTCCCGCGTCGCGTATCGGTCAAACCGATCGCGCGAAACGGCCGCCAGATAAACCGACCCCAGAGCGACGACGGCGCTGGCGGCGCTGGCGATGCCGGTGCAGCGGTCATAAAAAAAACGGACCAAAGCCAAATTCCTCATACTCATACTTTTTAATAGCCGGACACGTCAGCCGAGCGGACATGTCGAAGGACGGTCGAGCACGTGTGCGATGTGTCGCCCCAGGGGCCCGGGGGGACTGCGACTGTTGTGCAGAGGGGGGCGTATCCGGACCGGCCAAACGGACGGACACACGCATAACTGGGTCAACATTCGGAAAGCGCGGCGGCCGGGCGCAGCGAGGAGGACGCGAGGATGCACTCACTGCTGGCGCCGAGCTGAGCGCCCTGTGGGGCGGGGAGAGGGAGCAGCCAGCAGAGAAACAAGCACGACGCAAAAAAGAAAGAAAAGTCGTCCGCCAGCTGTCGCAGAGGACTGATAAAAAAGTAAATAAAACAGCTGCTGACGCTAAATAAGTAAAATCTCAGTAGTGGCGGCAGCAGTGGCGGCAGCAGCGCCCCCGGGAGGGGAAGACCGGCGGCGCGGCGTACGACGGCGTCGTGGTCCAGCGCGGGACAAAGGCGCGCCCCGGGGGTCCGGTAGTCCGGCCGGGCAGCGCCGCGCTGTCCTTGACGTGCGCCGCGGCGGCACCCACACCTGTCCCACTGATCTCGATTAATCGCCTTTTGATCGCCGGAGCAGTGCGGACCAGCTGACCAGCCGCGTCATGTCGCGCCTTTCGTCACCACGCCGCCGCCGGCGCCCGAGGGGAGGTCCGCGCACCGCCGAGGACAGCGATATATACGCGTCCAGGGCGTCCAGTAGGTCGGGCGGCGGACGTTCCGGGCAGGCCCGGCCCGGCCCGACCCGACCAGCGGCCGGAGCTGGACGCGGCTCGCGGGCCCCACCGCACCGCCCACCCGTTCCCAGGGGATGAAGTGAAACGAGACACAAGGCGTAACACAACACCCGCGCTGGAAAGGATTTGCCCAGCGCCTCGACACGCTCCAAGAGAGACCAGACCGACCGGCCGCTGGTGCTCGCGTTTATTGGACGAGACAAATCGCGATATTGCTTCTTTTGTTCGTCAGCATGCAGTGCGCCCGCCGCTTGTGTTGTTCTCTGTGACCCACAATATGAGGAGGGGAGGTGGGGGGGGGGGCGTTCGATCGTTAATCCTCTGTAGCTTGGGGACGCACAGGGAAGCCCCACCGCAAACACACACTGACATGTGTGTGTGTGTGTGTGTGTGTAAAATGGAGGAGAGAGAGGGGGGGGGGGAAGCAGGGAAGGCCACAGCGGGGCGCGCCAAGGATGCCCACGGGGACACCTTCGCCGCGCCTCACCTCGCTATTGGTGGCTTGTATCGCGAGCGGTGGCGGGGCGGGGCGGGGGCGATGCCGCCGGCGGAAGTGAGCAACCAGCAGAGCAAAGGCAGGCATAGTAGAGAGAGGCGGGCCGGGCGCGCAGGCGGGAGGCCCAACGGCCAGCCAGTTGTGCGTCGCCCGTGTCCCAGTGCGCGCGGCGCCTGCTGTGCCCGGGCTGTGCCCCGCCGTGTCATGCCCCTGGAGGCTCTGCTGCAGGCCGCAGCCGCTGCACCGCTGCAGCACGTCGCACCCCGCCGCGGGGAGCCTCGACAAGTAGGTGAGTGGGGCAGGTGGGCGCCACCCTACCCCCCTTCAACACCCGAACGCGACAAGCCTCCGCCGGTGTGGCGCCAGCCCCGCGAGATAACTTCGAGCGTAAAGTCGCGTTTTGAGCGAAAACGCTTGCATTTCACGTAGATTTCGTTAATCTCTCCACGAGACCTGACAGCGCGACTGGCGCTCTTTCCCATCAACAAAAGCCCCACTTTAATCCAGTCGATAAGCTTGGCAGAAGGTGCGCCCCGTCGTCGGTGCGCACGCGCGTGAGCGGGCGCAGCAGAGCTCTACAAGCCCACGGCATGTCCATGGCATGTCCGCTGGCGCGTGGCATCGCACTGACACCCGCACTGACTGACTGCCCGTCGAGCCGATCGGCCGGACAAGTCGGACAAGTCTTGGGACTCCGCCAAATTCATCCAATGAATGGCTCCTCGTGGCGACGCGAGGGGCGACACTCTGCATACGGTCATCGCGCGGAGTCACCAGTGCGTGGGAGGCGTGCCTCACCGCGTCCCAGGGCGAGCTTAACGTTTTTAACGTTCTTTGTTCTCACTATTATTGATAGAACTGGTTTGGTTTACTGTCCGCTTTCTGACGCCAGCACCCGTCTTCTTCCCACAGGCGCCTGCAGCTAGTCGGCCGCCATGAAGAAATACGGCGCCGACCCCAAAGACGCCAAGAGCGGCGGAGCTTTCGGCAGCAATAGCAGCGCAAGCACCAAGAACAACACGAGCAAGACCGAGTCCAAGTACTCGTCCGCGCAAGGCACCAAGGACAAGTGTACCGAGAGCAAGTACTCGTCACAGCAGGGTCTCGGCGGCGCGGCCAAGCAGGACAAGTACTCGACCGAGACCAAGTACTCGGCGCAGCGCGGCGCCGGGGCGAAGCCCGACAAGTACTCGACCGAGACCAAGTACTCGGTGAATAAAGGCGGGGCATCCGAAACCACCAAGTACTCGTCCCAGTCAAAGTACTCGACGGGGACCGCGGGGCTGGAGCGGCGGGCGAGCTACAAGAGCGTCGAGCGTTGGGACAACGAGAAGAACGCAGCGCGGGAAAAGGAAAAGTCCCAGAGCAAGGACAACAAGTACTCTGGGAAGGACGACAAGTACTCTACGAAAGACACGGGCAAGGACGACAAATACAAGACCTCCAACACGGCCTCAACTGGCTGGTCCAAAGACAAGGACGACAAATACAAGACCTCTAACACGGCCTCAACTGGCTGGTCCAAAACCAAGGACGACCCCAAGGCCAAGCAGTACTCCTTCTTCTCCTCCGCCGCCACCAAGGACACGGCGTGGAGCAAGGATAAAAACGACAAGTCCAAGTACTCCCTGTCGACGAAGGCCGAGACCAAGGGCGACTACAAGTCGTCCTCGTCCTCCTCCTGGTGCACCAAGGCCTTCTCCTCGGCTGACCCGCGGTACGACCTGCAGAGCGGCAGGGCCTTCTCCTCGCAGACAGCCTCCTCGACGTGGGAGGACAGGAACCGCGGGCGGGCCTTCCCCTACGACCGCGACCACGAGCTCCGCCGCTCCCTCAACAGGTAAGGAGGGGTTCGACTCGGTTTCAATTAAGGTATCTTTTTGGATAAATCCCTGACCTGACGTTGCGCGTGTGACTGTCCGCATAGGTACGAGACGGAGAACCTGAAGAACCTGGAGCCAAAGTATCGGAACGCGGTCCTGACGGCAAACGGCACGGGGATGGCGTCGGCGGTGTCGGTGGTCGGGGCGTCCGGGGTGGGAGGCGCGGGGCGGGCCGTGGAGTCGACCCGGCTGAGGGAGGACCACGGGTCCGGGGCCGCCACCACGGGCTGCCACAACTGTTCCTTGCAGTGACGACGGCCGGGCAGAGATGTTGCCTCACCGCGGTAAATGCCAAAAATGTGTGTTCTACGTCACTGTGCCATTATGTACTTAACATATTGTGTTTAAAGATAAGAAGAGAGGGTGTGGTTGTGTCGATATTACTAACTCTGCAATCATGTGTGTGTGTGGGTGTACCATATGTATGAATAGTGCACATTATTTTATACCAATTTTGAAATAAAAATAAATAAAAACCTTAAAAAGTATCCTCGCTCATATTGTACCGAGGGGTGCCCAACTGAGGTAATCAGGTGTACACAGAGTAGGTAATCCCTGGTAATCACCAGTAATCATTGGTAATCACCAGTAATCCTTGGTAATCGCCAGTAATCCTTGGTAATCGCCGGTAATCCTTGGTAATCGCCGGTAATCCTTGGTAATCGCCGGTAATCCTTGGTAATCACAGGTAATCCAGAGTAATCGCCGGTAATCCATGGTAATCATTAGGTAATCGTTGGTAATCAACAGGTAATCGTCGGTAATCACCAGTTAATCTTTGGTAACCACTTAGTAATCCAGCAAGGAAATTCCTGGAAATCTTTGGTAATCACTGGTAATTTCTGGTAATCACTGGTAATCTTTGGGAATCACTGGTAATCTTTGGTAATCACTGGTAATCTTTGGTAATCACTGGTAATCTGTGGTAATCAATGGCAATCTTTGTTAATCTTTTGTCAATGGTAATCTTCGGAAACCCTTGGTAATCATAGGTAATCCTCGGTAATCTTCGGTAATCTCTGGTAATCCTTGGTAATCGTCGCTTTTTGGTAATCAGGTGTACACGATTTTTTCGAGTTGGGCACCCCTCGTATTGTACAATTTTCCTCCCGTGCACAAAAGGCTGTTCTTATTGATCTGATTCCCTCTGCGTCCCACAAGGACGGTCACTGATAGGAGCAGCGTGAGGGCAGGGCAGGAACTGCTTGCAGCCGACAGCACAGCAGATAACATGATGGGAAAGGACAGCCGTGAGTGAGGAGGAGCCCGCGTCGCATAGGGTTGCTGGGGATGCTAGTGGGGTGTGGCAGGGGCGCCCGGGAGGGGGGGGGGGGGGATTTGAGTTGCGCCGAGTTGTGCAAGCTCGCCTCCTCCTCCCCGTCGCGCCGGCCGCGCGGATATCAACCCTCTCGCGGGCCCCACCCCCCAACGGCAGCCCCCGTGGGACCCAGCCGCCCCTCCCGGCCCCTCCAACCTTCCGGCGGCCCCGTCTAGGGCTGGGCGGTATTTTTTTCCCAAAACCAATAGTCAATATATTTTTATATTGGTATTCCGGGCAATATCAATATTCTGTATTGGATATTGACAATATTGGCAATATTGGAAATATTGGAATATTGGAAATATTGGAAATTTAAAATATAGCAATATTGAATGAAAAATAGTATTTCACCAGAAGTCAGAAGTGCGAAACCATTAATTTCTTAAAAACGTAGATCTACAGAAAATATGGATTGGTGACTTATTTTTTTTTTCGTGAAAAGTGCACACTAGCAGTGCATGTCAGTTACCATAATATTAGTGATTTAGTACCCAGTCGTCGGAGATTTTTTATTGGGAATGAAGCCTTTGGATGTCCTTTGGGCGGTGAAGGTATCGTTCAAGTTTCCATGCGAGTGAATTAAGTGTGCCGAGTAACCAGCAGCTATGAAATTTTAAACCACAGTTCAAAACTTACTGAGTGGGCAGGAAGGGGTGCCTTGCTACCCAGCGAAGACAAGTCTCCCTCGTCCAAGGAGGGGATTCCAAAATTCCAATATAAGATATTGGTTCCAATATACCAATATTGGATATTGGATCCAATATACAATACAGAATATTGATATTGGCAGCTTTCAAAACTCCAATATTGGTCCTCCAATATTTTTTCTATATTGGTATTGGTGCCAATATATTGGAATACCGCCCACCCCTAGCCCCGTCGTCCCGACCGGCACGACCTTGGGCGGGCATGCAATCCCCGCACAGCCATCACGCCCGGAAACGAACTGAGCCTCGACCCTCCTGCAACACCTGGCACCTGTTCACTCGGAGTGGGGGGGGGGGGCGCACGACACGCAGCCACCCTGCTCACCCCAGCACCCAGCATAGGGACCCTCCCCCTGATGGGTCGGTGGGCCTGACAGGGCGGTGCCGAGCCGGAGGGGTAGCGCGGCGCGCACACCTCTCCCGAGTGCGATGAGCTGCCTGCCCACCAGGCGCGCCGGCCCGGCGAGTCCGATAAGCTGCCCACCCGCACGGCGCACGCAGAGCACACACGGTGTACGGTGGGCTGCCGGCCCCCGCGGGCGGAGCACCGAGTGGAGTGCCGGCCGAGGTGCCGGCCTTGCCCCCCACCCGGCGGCCCCCCCACCCCCCGCAAGCTGCATGTGTTGCCTAGCTGCCCGGCGCATGGGTGCGGGCCAAGCCAAGCGCGAGCCGCCTGCCCCAACACGACTGCTGCCAGAAGCAGGCAAAACGATCTGGCTGGCGGGCGCACCAGACAGCGCGCCGCCCGCACCGCCCCCGCCGTTCGGGACCGCGAAATGCAACGAGAGCGACCCCCGTTTCCTACGTCGAGGAGTTTCTACGGAGAGTGCTCGCGGCCGCTTTGAGCAGCAAGCAGAAAGGAAGAACGCAAACCGCGGATACCGCGGCCTTCGTTTTGTCCCTCTCTGCACACTGTGAAAATGGCTGTGCAAGCTTCAAGCTTCATGGGAACTAGTGGAACTGATACAAATTAGCCGAAATAAGCGTTTACTGCCACTAGAAAACCTAAGGGATCAATGTAAGCGGATGGGAATCACTGGAAATCAAGAATTTCGGGAATGTGTACACATCAAAAGGGAGTTATTGCCCCCTCGGGCCGTCGTGAGTTTACGATACTAATGTTAAATTTCAATTTCGTTTTTGATGTAAATTACGAAACATTAATTTTACATTTGGAGAGATATTTTTTTACAGTGGACCACAGTGAGGATTGCATAGCAGCTAGCGCCGAGCCATCGGGTAAGTGCAGGCAGAAGGGGCGTGGCTGGGTGCAGCCATGGCGCACAAAACAGTCGAGGGTGACATTTTGAGGTTACTGCAGCATGGTCACGATCAGGGCGGGGCGCGCGCGCAGCCCCCGCTCCAAACCCACCCCACCCCGCCACGCCCGAGCCACGCCCTCACTTCCGATCCGCACTCAACTCGCCGCAAACTAAGTTGGCTTGGCTTGACAAGACAAGCGCGCCATTTCCACAATCATCGTGTTGTTGTTTGTAGTTCCCGCGGAAAGGTGTGCCTCGCAGCACGACACTGCTTGTCACCGCGCCCCGCCGCCACGCGGCCCCGCCCGTTCCGTGTTGCAATCGGTTGCAATCATCTCTTAGATTGTATAACACGTATAACAACTGGCGCAGTCACAGTGGTCGTGGTGGGCGGGGGACGGCACGGCACGGGCGGCACGGGATGGGGCGAGTTAGGCGAGCTGCTCAACAAGACCGTCGCCGTCGTAGCCGTCCTGTTGCGGGCGAGTGTACACGGCGACACGACACGACGCCCGCCCCCACTCAATCAAGAGGTCATTTTCAAGGGTGCTAAAATCGAAGAGCCACGCTTTCACGAGAGGCGAGGCGGCGGCGCAGAGAAATGGCCACACAAGCTTAAACTTTAGCCATTTCAGGGCCGCGCGCTTTTCGCAAAAGTCAACACCATTTGGGACGACATCATAAAACAGAGCGGTCATGATCTTTTTCTTTGTCCTCTTTGCCCTGGCGCGGTGTTTCTCCCAGGACCCCCCGACCGACTCACCTTCTCGCAGTCCTCCTCCAGGCGCACCACACGCTCCAGCTGGAGGAACAGCTCCTCCTCCTTGTCGTGCAGCTCCTGGTCGCGACCCTCCAGTCGCTTCTCCAGCTCCTTCCGCGCCGCTGCCAGGTCGTCCCGCTCAGCCTGGAGACAAACAAAATAGATTGGGTTAGACATATTTCGATCTTTTGTATAAAAAAGTATAAAACTAAACTTGCACTGTTTGGACTAAAAACTGTCAAGTGCCAGCGAAATGAACAACACAACAGGCATTACCTATAACGTAAACGTTTCTGAAGATCAGAAACTTGTGCATGCTACAGCACCCAAGAATATAAACCTTCTTCAGTGTGCTGTCATAAAATGTTCAGCAGCACGACGTAACCCTGGCTGCACGACGCCTCCCCAGGGACCCCAAATGTTTTCAAGGTCTCCTCCTCGGATGCCTTTTTAGAATTTGGGCGCGCAAGCAGCAAAGCCAACCGCGCGCGTCGTGGTGGGGAGAGCGTCGGATACATCGAATAAAGGAATTCCAGAGAGGAGTATGGAGTGGAGCGGTCGAGTGAGACGCACTAGTTAGGCCCCCCCCCGAGATGCAGATTGGAAGCAACGAGACGTGGGTGCCCCGCTCGGCTCGGCTCGGCCCGCCGTTCCGTCGACATCATTATGCCGTCTCGTGGGACGCGATGCGGGCGCGCGACCCACCCGGCCCGGCGGGCGCGCAGAAACAGGCAGCGATGAAATGTTTAAATTTAGGCGCGAGCGGCGCGCGACACACCACGCCGCCGCGCCGCCGCTCCCACAAGCAGGACGACCGTCAGACCTTGAAACGGTCACTGGAGGATGAGTCTCCCTGCCATTGTGACGTGGCCGGGGGCCACCCCACTCCTCCGCCCCGACCGTGCCTACCCCGTGTCCCGGCACGGCTCGAGGCAGCGCCCCGCCCCGCTGTCAGGAGCAGCACAGCAGAGCGCTTCGCCCGCTTCGCCCGCTTCGCCACTTCACAACCGCGCAGCCGTATTCCCAGAAGTTTATTGTCTGAGCTTTGCAGTGGATGGAGTGGTACCCGGGCGCCGAGGCGGTGGCGCCGCGAGTGAGTCAGCAGGTGTACACCTCTCTCGGTCCATACAGGTGCGCTGGGGGGTGTAGTACAATAGCAATCACAACTTTGTGTTTCGCCACGCCATCGTCCGAACCGAAGAAGGCACACAACAAAAATACGAAGAAGACAAATCGCAATACAAAAAAAAGACAAATATATCAATGCTCCCATTTCAAAGACGTCCGTTCTGCCCGCCTGGGTACAGTAACGAGATCCTCCCTCCCCAGCAGCGACGCCGGCGACCGACAACCTCGAGACCTCTCGGCGACTCATCACCGGGCAACAGCGAGGCGTCGAAGTGATGAGTTGACGACCAATCAATCAGACTTGAGCCCTTGCCTCCCTTTCCCTCGGTCGCGCTCAGGTAAGTGGGTTAGAGGGACGCCGGCCCTGGACACCGAGCGGATGGGCTGCGCGGCGTGGACCGCCACCGGCCATCATTGCCCGTGCCCGTCCTACCCGCGGATATTTTTTTACCCCGCCTAGTTTATTTTTTCACCTCACCTCACCGCGTCAGCACCGCGCACCGCTACTCTAAGGAGTCCCTCGTTGCGACCAGGAGAAGAGCACGTCAAAGCAATGCACACTTCGCACTAAGTACTATGATGATGGTACTCTACATTCATGTTTGTTTGTTTGTTTGTTTGTTTGTTTGTTTGTTTGTTTGTTTCTTTTTCGAAGAAAGCCACTCAAATTTAGCACCCTCTGGGAAGGCATCCCAAAAGAGCAAAATTTTAAGCAAATCGTCTTTCTCTTTCCTTTGGTCGCCTTCAGGCGAGTGTGTGTGTGTGGAGAAGGTAATTTTGAGCCCCCCTTTCTGCCCCCTGCTCTGCTTCTGCTGCTTCTAAAGCAATTTTCGGGCGAAATGAATGTCCCGCTGGCCTGGTCAGTGCGGCAGCAGCGGGGCTGGGAACACTCGCGGCAGCGGCGAGTCTGTGGGAAGCGGCACGCCGCGGGCCGGGCACCACCGCCAGCACCGCGGCGGGTCACAACCGACAAAATGGGAAAGATGTTGTTTACCGAGGCAATAAAGCACCGCATGCGCCGGGCCGCGAGTTCTAATTAGGATAAGACCCACTGCACTTCATCTTCCTTTCAAGCTTTCGCCTGCTGCAGCGGCCTCGCGCCGTCCGCGGAGGATGCGTTGGCACAGATAAGCGCACGGGGCTGCCTGTAGCGCGGCGGGGAGCGGCTGTGCGGGAGCTAGTACAGTCAATGAAGACAAAAAGCACGCCTGACCTCAAAAAAATTAAAGGCAAAGGTTTGTCGGGCTCGTTGCAAAGGTCTCAGAGCGTACTAAAACATTTCAAATTTCCTCCGAAATCTATCGCCAGCGCGCCGGCCGTGACGCGAGCCAGGGAGCAGCGAGGAGGAGCCCCGTGGCGGTAGGTGACCCGCCCGCGCGGCTGGCATGCGGTACAGTATAGCTGTACGGTCCGCTAGGCCACCTTCCCGGCACCATCCGATTTGCACCTTTTGTCCCGGATGAATGAACGCACACAATTGTTCCTATCAAGTTCTAAAAATACCAGTCTTTTTGCATCTAGTAAAACAACAACTAGTTCACTAATAAACTAAGTGTGCAACTGCTTAACACTTGTAAGTTATCAACTGCAAGTTAAATACTTACTAAGTGTCTAACTCAGTAGGGGTGCACTTGAAAGTGTGCAACTCTTTCCTACAGTGAGCGTCCAATATAAGGTGATCAACCGAGGAGGTTGCACACCTGCAAGTATCCAACTTGCAGTTGCACACTTATGATTTATCGGTGTGAAAAAATCGAGTAAAAACAGTGTTTTTTAAGTATTTTCTTTACGAAAAGGATAAACCAATTCTTTGCCATAGCCTCTAACACATACTGAGGGCACCAGGATATTTTGTACCCCCATGTGTCCATTCGCGCGCAGCTCTCCATTTAGCTGACTCCCTGCCCCCCCCCCCCCTCCGTCATGACGTGCGACACCGAGTGCACGCCGTGGCCGCGCTGGCGGTGGTAGGTCCGTACAGTGCACGACGACGCGTTCTCACACTCGGCCGGAGTGGTTAAGATTCCACCGGAAATGCGGCGGGCGCCGCGGTGTTTACCTTCCGCCTGCCACCGGAACTGGACGGTGCGGTCCAATCGATACGGGATCGGGGAGGAAGTCGGGGCGGGCGGCGGCGCTGCGCTTCGGCCGGCCGCCGCCTCCTCCTCGCCTGCCTATCGCCCCCCGGCCAGCGGCCGGCCGCCCGACCCGGTTTGTGTTTGACCAGCGATTTATTACTTTGCTCAAGCGCACTACGCTCTCAGTCGGCCGGGCCGCATCCGGGTGGAGCAGAACAAATGCCACCCGCGCGAGGCGAAGGTCCATACTAGCACACACGGGGCGACTAGTTGTAGGTGTCAACGAGTGTCGGACCCGTCGGACCTATGGCGCTCATCGCTCATGCCAAGCCAGCCGGCCGCCGGCAGAGAGACAGTCGTCATACACGGCGGCCTCCTCACACTACGCGGCGGGCTTTCACCCACCCGGGACAATGGAGCGGCTGTCATTAGAATAAACTTGCTCTAATGGCAGCCCAGCCCACGGCCGGCGCCGCCCCGCCCGACACCTCGGGCCAGGCGCGCTCATCACGCTGTTGTTGTTGCCTTCAGCGCGTGTGCGTCTGGCCGCGCCGACGCGCCGACCTGGACCTGACCCGCTTCACACATTTGTGCTCGCGCCAACTCCAAGCCGGGCTTAGCGAGCACCAGATTGTGTCCGGCCGTCTCCAGCCTGCTCGCCCCAGCCTCCCCGCCGAGCCCCGCGGGATGGTCACACTTTCCCGCCCCGCCCCGTTCGCTTCGCGGTTCGTCGCGCTTAAAGATGGCCCTCGCCCGCCAAGCCGGGCGGCCGCTGCTCCGCCCTCCTGATCTGCGATTAGGCCCACCCGTACATGAAAGTGTCACCGGCACGTTTAAAAGAAAAAAAGAAAAACATGTTTGTGAAAGGCGAAGGTGGTGACAATTGTTTTCGGGAGGCCCAACTTGTCTCCAGCAACAGGTGTTTTTACATCGCACTCTGCTTTCTCACTTTCGTATTTCGGAATCCGCTGCTGCTCGTCGCCGTCGTCGCGGTCCTCATTGTCACTCACGATGTGCGGCAGCGTGCAGGCGCGGCCGCCTCACGCCCAGGCTATCCCATTACACACGACGCGGAAAGTGAATGCAACTTGGTATTCCTGGACAGCGGCAGCGCTTTGCTTTGCTTGCCCGGCGCTGCTCTGCGCGGTGCGGGGCTTGCTTCACTTTCTACGTGCGCTGCTGCTGCCGCTGCTGCACGCTGCACGTGCATTCTGTACGTGGCCTGTCCCGTCCCGCCAAATTCTACACCTCCGCACGGGGCGGCCTGCGCGCGGACGTGAAAGTCACCACCACGCCGCCGCGCCGCTGCTGCATCTGCAGACAGGTCCCGGACCCGCTGCTGCTGCAGCTGCACTTCTTCTCTCCTTATTCGATTCCTTTCGCCCACCTCACCTCACGCGCCTCGCGTTCACAAAACCAAACTCGAAAATTTGCACCCCCCCACATTCATGTTTGTTTGTTTGTTTGTACGCGCCTCGCGTTCACAAAACCAAACTCGAAAATTTGCACCCCCCCCCTTTGATTTTGGCCAGATCCGGTTGTCGTCGCCGAGCCAAGCTCCCACACGGAGGCTGACGAACACTCTGCAGTCCCACAGTACGGAAGTAACGTAATTCCCGCCGAGCCAACTACAATCCCCCATCCCGTCGTTGCTTGCATATGCATGAGAGCCACGTGTTTGTATATAAACACATTTTTGTGTTAAACTTCATGCGTACGAGGGATGATATGATGAGAGTCAGTCGACGGCCCTTGCCCAGTTGCAGCCCGTGCGCAGCGTGTGCCGCACAGTGCCCCGGCCTGCTGCGCCGCGCTTCCCCGCTCATGTCAGCAGCAGTCGCGCCGAGGATCGAAAACATTTAGTCGGAAACGACCGAGCAACTTGTCGCGCTCATCCATAAGGCATAGCGAGCGCGCGCCGCCCGAGACGCTCTGCCC